AGCTGATATAAATAGCATAACATGCCATTAGAAAACACAATATTCCATATTGTCAGCTGTGGTTTTATGTCCCATTTTACGCCTTTGTTGCATGGCACAGTTAAATAATTTTTAAATAAAACAGAATTTTGTAAAAATTAAAATGTTTATAAAAAGTAATAAAGTAATGAAAAGAATCATTAAAAAAATCTAGATCACGTTTTCCGTAATTCATGCATGAAAGGGTTAATCTGGATTACTGTTTTATAGGTTTAATAATAATTATTATTATAAAGTAAACAACAACAACAGCTATTATTATTACTATTATTATTATTAAATAAGCATAGTTTCCACACTGTTCCACTTGCAGTTATTTACATTATCTGGTAGCTGTTAGGGTTATAATACAGACAATATCCAAACAAAAAACTGGAGAACATTATGTAAGACTAAATCTAAATTAAGACTAAATTTCATGACAGTAATTTCAGAAATAGAGAGACACTGAATGTAAGTGAGTGAGAAAGGAGAGAGATTATGGTGGAAAAATACAATAAAAAAATAAAGGTTAGAAACATTCTTGACTAAAGAGCAAGACAGCTGTTTGAGCCCCCATTACACAGACAGAGGAGGATTCTGCCCTTCACTAGCTCCCACAACAGAGAAGAGAGAGTGTGTTCTGCAGTCAGGACAGATGGTAGGCTCTATTGCGCAATCTGTTTCTGCTATAAATCGTTTACAGAATGTGATATCACATGTTTATCAGTCAGTGTTCCACAACCACTTTTCATTGCAGGTGCTTTGGCTGAGATATTCACTATGACCTACTTAAAGTTATCCAAGAGGGAAAATCTAAAACACAGCAAAGTAAACCAAAACTGTCTCATGGGCCTTGCATTTTGGATTAAGCACATTTAATACTTAAGAGACTGATAAACCATTTCAGTTTCTTTTTACTAGCTATTATATATCACAGTGCACTTCCCAAGAGTACCGAGGCCTGGGTTTGCTGTCATTCCTCAATGTGTTTTGCATGTGCTCATGACTTACTTTAACATCTAAATTGACATGCAATTTACTTAATTTCTTCAAATCTTCATGGCAATTCCTGTTGTAGCGGGCTTCCTGTGCCCTGAAATCAACCTCAGTTTTGTTCCTTTTGTTCCAGTGGGACAGCCAGGTTATATAAAGTTGTACAAATATGGCTAATATCAAAGGTTTTTCCTTATTATGAACACAAAGGATGCCACAACTTTCTGTTTTCCTTGGTTTCTATCAACAGAGCCAATCTAATTTTCCTGAGAGAGAAAGAGCAGTTCTCCTGAGTGAGATAATTGTATTTCTCTCCCGCTGTGTGTGCAGTGGAGAGTATGGTCTTCTGAGAATGTTGTTGACGTCTTACCCAGATGATAATACATCTTTATTTGTCTATACCTGGCATACAGTCATTTTCTGTTGTCCTATGTAATGATCACTGCAAATGATTCCCTTCAAAAGCACAGTGAAATTCCTTTTTCAGTGTCAACAAAGTAAAGGAATGGAAATAATGTTTTATAACAATGTTTGTTTGCTGCAAAAAGAAGAAAATCAGCAATAAACTTTTAAATAATTGTATTATTTATTCATATGTAGGCCTACTTTATTTTGTGAACAGACGTATAGTGTTTTTCCAGAAACGTTGATGACATTACCGTCCTGCATATAGGATGTCCAAAAACATGTTTAAGTGAATTGGACTATAACTTCTTACAGTAATGCAAAATGCAGATTTCTTTGCATTTTAATTTGAATATGCTTATTCCAAATATGACAACTTCTAATTCAAATAATTGTTTCATACAGGAGACACAGATTATCATCATCCTCAAAAACACCATCATTTATGCTTAGCTATGTTTTGAGGTAACTTAAGTATTTAGCTCAGATAAGTGGACAACAGACCATTTTGCAGATAAAAAGTTACACACCCTAAAATAAATATGCTGAAGGCTGATCCAGAAATATGACTCATGTGATACATTCCAGTTAGCCTAATGCTTTATTGACAGCTAGTATAGTAATGTATTTGCTAGCCTTTTACTTATTAAACATCACAAATGAAAACTATTAAATTCTTTTTGTTAATTGAAATGAAAAATGAAAATGAAATAAAATTAAAATAAAATAAAATAAAATATAAATATTAGATGAAAAAAAAATTATTTATTAACTTAAATTAATTAGAATTAGAAATGTTGCCTTGGCAGCTAATTGAATATAAGCACTAAAATTACATTTACATTTACAGTACATTTAGTCATTTAGCAGACGCTTTAATCCAAAGCGACTTTACAAATGAGGACAATGGAAGCAATCAAAATCAACAAGAGAGCAATGATATGCAAGTGCAATAACAAGTCTCAGTTAGCTTAACACATACACATA